TTTTTTTTTTTTTGTCAACGTATGCTTGGAATTCGATGCACTTCTAGTTTTTTAACTGGAGGCTCTTTTTAAAATGCAGTTTTTTAGACTGATCTTTTCCGATTTCTTCTTTTATGGTTATAATGCGTTACTCGAAACTTTATAAGTTTTCAAGTTCCTCACGGTTGAAAGTGAAATACTGATATTTCAGCAACGAGTGAACCCTTTAGCTATTTATTTGTACCGGTTGGGATGTGAGTAATTTAAATACGTTTTTGCTAGATTAAGCTAGCTAATTCTCATTTCTTAGATACCAAGGTGGGGAGTTCCGATTATACGATGAACAATTTTAAATGCATGTTATTGAAACATTTGAGGGTAGTTACTTCAAAGGTTTATTAAGTTTAACTGTCGGATTTTTTTTTGTTTTCAAATCTACTGCAAATTTTTTGCTTAAAGAGGATTTTGAGAGGAAACTTCTGACTCTTCTAAGCCGAAATACTGCAGTTTATTTCTGCTTTTGGCATGGTTCTTATCTTAGTTTTACTTGTTTATTTCTTTGAATTGTTTGAAAATATGTCGAAAGCTGCAATTTTCACCATTAAAATGACGCAAATTTTGTGATAAGCAGTAGAAAAAATAATTTGAGAGAACCTTAATATCGTAGATGACTTATCACTAAAACCACTATATCGAAACAGGACCAGAGATTAGCTTGCAGAGTACGCTGAACAGCTTTTGGAAGAAAATAGTAAACGCTTCGAAGTTGTTGGTGGAACCATCACTGTTGGGGACGTTGATGAACGAGCCGCTTTTAATGAACGTTTGAGAAATGAATCTTTGTAAATCCCGATTTATATTATTTCACAGTTAACTGGTAAGTTATTGTCTGGCAGGCGTGCATCAATTTTTTTTTTGAGATAATTATATGGCTTACAGTGGCCGCTGAAATCTCGTTTTTTTTTCTCTCTCTTTTACTATTGATTCTCCTGTTTTGCTGCGACAGCGAACTTATTGAGAAATTACGCTCTGTTTGAACATTTCACCTTTTATTTTATTTCTTTTACAACGTCGTGTGCAAAGGAAATTGAGAGCTATAGGCGGAGTGCAAAAATCGTTTCAATTTTATAGTCTTAGATATAGCTGAGAGCTTTTCAAAACTTTTTTAATGTTTATTTCTCTCTGTTTTTGAGCACTGAAAAAGTGTACTCTTCTGATAGTCCTGTAAACTATATGAGGCACAAAAGGTTTTTCAATTATTTTATTATCTAGGTAGTACACCGTCGTCAAGTTATTTGGACCAGTGAAAAATTTTTTGTCGGCAGTTCTCATTCGACAGTGGTTCAGGCAGAACGTTCGGGAAGTCATTCCATTTCACCGACCTAAAGTATTATTACTACTGTTATAGATTGCGGATTACCTATGACGGAAGTGGAATGGAGTGAAATACTTGTTGTTTGTTTTCTAGTGTATTACCACTTCCAGTCACGTGTGTAGAATGTCTTTAACCAAATGTGTTTTAAACCTGGTCTCGTTTTTCCTTATTGACATTCTGTTTACTTGTATTATCCATTGTGTGCTTTACGAATTTTTTTGCTGTATCACGCAGAAAGTAGTTCTAAAATATTGTTTTAGCTATTATTAGTAGATTTTCGAGTAAAATTGCAATGAAAACACTTACTTTAGGCTTCTTCTTTCTGCAGACAAAACCTTTTCTTGTGGCATCGTCACGTTCATATTCTCTGATTTCGCAGAAGTCCAGTTGACTGCTCAATATTTTTTCATCTTCAGCTGCAATGTTTGTTGTAACCATTTGTACTTCTTCATTTTTTTCAGCTCTGTAATTGGCTAAACGTGGGCATAGTTTCATTTAGGTTCTTATTGCGATCGGTGTTTATTAGCTGAGGGGATGCCACTCTTATGTTCTGTTGAATAAATAGGGCGTACTTCGGTGTGTATTTTCCTCGAATTTCTTCGTAGTAATTAGCTTCTGCGATGAGTGCTTCTTTTAGCTCAGTTACCGGTAATTTTTCTATGGCATCTGCATCGAAATATACCTGAACAGCGGTAAATTTTTGCAGGTGAAGTAATGAAGTTTAGTATCGAGGTTAAACTGAAAAGGTTAGGCTTTTTTAAAAGTTGATGAAGCTTTTGCACACATTAAATCTTCTAGTGAAATACATTACGAAGTGAGAAAACCCTTTTCTCTCTGAAGTTGTCATTCGTTTACTTTTTCTGAACAGTTTGGCTCGGTTCTTGGGTTGTGATAAATATCTAGGAACGGGTGTTTCAATGCTTCATCGGCAGTTATTCGCTTCCAAGGTGCGATTTCCATAAGCTAGAAAGGGGCATCATGTACTTTTTATATTCATGTGTCATTCTTTTGGATCGAAGTAAAGTTGAACCCCAAAATCGTTTTTTTGTTCTTTAGTCTTCTTTGGCAAAGTTGTTGGAAAATGTACCGAAATTTAACAACTTAGTATTCATGGTCACTTTATTATTGTTAGATTAAGAATAGCAATATTACTTTTGTGATTAAATCGATTGCTTTTGAACTTGCTTTTGGCAGTATATTTGACCATGCGAGCGGCTCTTTCTTGTCGCAGGTTTCGATCCATCGGAGTACTAATTCAGATTTTATTCTGTTCAGCACATCCTGAAATAAATTACTAGTGAGCTTTCTTGAACTTTTTAACTGAACAAAAAACACGAATACTTTTTTTATATGGGATTTGTGCCTGAAATATATAGAACAAAGGAATCACTCACCGGTTCTGGTGTACCCAAATAGTAGATGATCATTTTAACCTGGCTAACAGCATCTTTTCCAGGAAATAGTTGTCGTCGCAGCATCATTTCGGCAAAAATACATCCAGTGGACCAAATATCTACCCTATAATTATTGGTCTTTAGCTGCAAAAAAATTATTACAGAACACATGTGTACGTATTCGTTGGTGAAGCTGCGAAATTGCTAACATCTGCTTACATGGTATCATATTCCAGCAGTGAAAACAAAAGTTCTGGAGCCCGATACCATCTTGTCGCCACATATTGCTGCAAATTGCAAAGTGAAAGTTACGTAGAAGCGTATTTGAGATGTGGCTGTTTTGAACAACATACTCTCAAATGAGTGAATAGAAAAGTTGGTTTAATGAGCTGGAAAATAGGGGATGTTTAAATTCAATGAGCTTCAGTAAAACTGAAAAAAAAAATCAGAAATTTAACTTACTGTCATAAAATTACCCGTTTCATAAACGCACTGTTCTACCAGCCGCGCCATTCCGAAATCTCCAATTTTTATTAAACAGTCACTATTGACAAGAAGATTGGACGGTTTCAAATCGCGATGTACAATACCAACTGAATGAAGATACTAAAAAACTTCCTGTCAAACAAGATAAAAGAAGCGACTTATTTGATTTTATGCAAAGTTCATGAAGAGTACCGTTGTACTGTACTTATGTTCATCTTGATCTCGGGGCTGGAACCTCAGTGGTTTTTATAGACAGAAGTTTCTGTATGGTTGAAAAAGTTCTTAATGTTTAGCTTAAACAAATGTATAAATGCTAATCACTGGCTCGAACAATTAGAGATCAGTATCACTAGAAACTTTTCATAAGAAACCTTAAGTCCCCGTAAGATTTGATACAGAAAATACTGAAAATGTTGTTCTGTAAGGCTTTGCCTACTGTAAATGATACGATGAAGATCAGTTTCCATTAAATCGAGAACCATATAAACATCAGGACCCTGCAAAAATTAAACGACTGTTTGCCAAGTCTCAGTATGAATCACTTACATATTCTGCTTAAATTTTTGTAGTCCAAGAATTAGCTTTGTTCTATAATTAATTAGCTTAAGAAATTATGCCTGATCTCCATTAGCGGTAAATACATCAATTACAGAAACAATATTTTCATGGCTAAGATTCCTCAGTATTCGTATTTCTCGCAATGATCGTTTCATTAAAGTAATAGCTGAGAACGCTCGAGAGATCTTTTTTATGGCAACATTTTTTTGATGAACCTGAATTGCAAAGTTTCATTCACTCATTCGCTGTACAAAACAAAAAATTTTTATTTCACCGGTAAAATTTTTTAGAATATTACTTTTAGAGTTATTATTCTTGGATGAGATGTTATAACGCTATTCCTTCCCGCAGCATCACAGGTACATTAAATAAGATACTAAGAAAAACAAACAAAAACAGTAAACAAACAAACATATGAATCATCATACCTGATCAAAAGCTTTACATACCACACCGTAAGCACCGGTACCAACATTTTCTAATGACTTGTACGGTGTATTTTCCAAATTGAACGCTACTTGAAGTAATTTAGCGTTTGCCATTTGATAGTAAACTACACAGTCAGTATTCAACTATTTTTTATTCACAAATAACATTGAAGTATAATTCAAATTAGGATTTTGACTCGGTTATAAGTTCATTCAGTAACAAATTTATTATCTTCTAAATTTCAAAACGTCTCCTAAAAAAGACAACATTGAACAGCCGAAAGAAAACAGTTTATCATTTGAGCGTACAAATCAAAATAGTTAAAATCGATGTTTAGCACCAAAAACGAACTTTAAAGGTAATAATCCAAAGTAATTTAGAGCATAATAGAAGTGCAAAACAATACACGTCCAGTAGGATTTCTAATAATACTGATTTTGAGAACTCGAGCTAAAGAATAAGTTCAAATTCCAACTTTTTTGTATCTGCACAAAAGCAACAGCTACAGCAGATATCAATAACAAATTTTGAAATAGATACAAAAAGAAAAGTAAACACAAATTTCTTTTGTTCAATATTAATTTCATTAAAACGCTCTTTGCTAATGCTTAGTTCTTCAGACTGTGAAAATAGAAGATGTTGGATGACGAGGAAATTTACTGTTGATTGTCGTCATAGAACCACTTATCTTTTAGAAGTACAGCAAGCAGCAACATAAGGGTCTTGAGACTTCAAAAATAATTTGACATCTTTAAAAAACAATGATGATTTCAAGCAACCAAATATAATAGTAAACCAATGTTCCTTCTTCTCCTCCTTCTCCCCACACGTCCGCCTCCTCTCCGCCTTCCAAAGCCTCTTTCTTTCAACAAACAATTTTCTAGGCAAAATATCGACAAAAACAGGTAATATAAATTTTCTACCCTATAGTTTGCTACATTCTAATCTTTATGTATAACTTTTTACAGTTAGAGCAGAATAAAAAGCAGAATTAGCTTGAATATCAAACAGCAAAACTTTTTTCATAAATAAAGTGATTTTTGTGTAATTTATGCTGCACATACAGCCGGTTCGGAAAAAAAATAACTTAAAACGGTTCATAAACGAACACTATGTATTAGCGACGATTGACTGAAAACTAAACTTTTAAATACCTCAATTTTTGTTGCTTTTATAGAACAGAAAAAGCAGAAGAAAACAACACTCAATTTCCTTAAAAAATACATGCATAAGTCAGCAAATAAGTATAATTAGTTGCATTTTATCACCAACTCTTTCAGTTACCTATTCATTTTTGCCTTTTCATTCACTCTATATTCGACTAGGTAAAACTTCTGTTAGTGACAAATTATAGCGATAATGAAAATACAGTTAAACGTTTAAAGTCCCTTGTAACTAATATAACAGAATTGACAGTAGAAATCCCTCCTACTGTATCTTCAATTATGCGCAGTTTTCCTCAGTAGAGTTTCCAACATATATTCCAAATGTTTCCAAGTGAATTCCAATTAAAAAAATTTTTCAAATGCACATTAATTCCAACTTTTAATTGTCGTTATAGTGCAGGAAAAAAGGTTTTACAGATCACCAGACATCATCTCTTTGTAAAAAGTTTATTCGATTCAGTTTTGCACATAACAACAGAATTGTTAAAGCAGTTAAGACTGACCGTGAAAATAAACATAACTAAGTTGAGATATGTTAATTAAGTTTCAGATTCAGTTCTGAGAAAAACAAAAATAAAAAAATTTCTAAGCTTTACGCTTTAATCAATCCAACGCTGGTAGAGTTCAGCAGTTCAACGTGTCGTATTCAATCTACTCAGACGTATTTCAGTTGATACTTTTACTAAAGCTTCTCAAAGCAGTCAAATAAAAAAGTACAACCGATTAACGGGAAAGATAAATGCTTTACAATAGAAAACTTGTACAATTTCCTGAACTTTCTTCAATGATAAGCTGATCATTTCATGTTGACCAGTTTACCAAGATACTTAGAAGTAAATTTTTTTGGTGACACTAACTCTCAAATTACCAACAGATTACGCAAATATAATGTAAGTTGTTACATGTTTTTTCTTCATAACTAATCAAGTCATACCGAGTACTATGAAAACTATAAATGTTGATCAGTGGTTCAGTTGCCCAAAGTTCGACCACCCTAACCAAACACTGTTCAGATTTTGTTGGCATTTTAAATTAGAGCAATAAATAAGAACGTAGACAACATAAAAACATAAAATTTTTATCTTTTACAAGCATATTTTCGTTGAATGTGATTTAGCAGTACGTCTTAATATCTGTTATGCAACAAAAAAACTGTCAACATGAGCATTAAAAAAAAAAATGATCGTAGAACTAGACTTCATCTTCTATATGGAACAAAAATTATAGGCTCAACTACAGATTGTCCATTTGTCATTTCTGTAGTTTATGTTTCCTGTTTAAGAATTCATTTTTTGTTTAAAACGGTTTTACTGCCGCTGTCCAATGCTCAACAAACTATCAACCGGTTCAGTGTAAATAAGTCAGTATTGAATAGTTAAAAAAATTTTTTTCATTTAATAAACCTACTTTTATACAATCGACGTCCATTTACGGTAAACACTAAGATGAGCAGTAAAAAAAAAGACTTTACTCATGTTTTTTTTTTTTTTTTAGAGCACAAAACAGCGATAAAATTACAAAAAGAATGTTTACAACCAAAACAGAGATAAAAAGTAACTTTTTGTTTGCTATCAAAATTTTTGGACAATTATCACTGAAACTTATCAACCCCTTTTGTAGGTTATTTTGGTGCTTTTATCCATCGACAAATATAATCAAAAAACTCCAGAATTTGAGCCAATCACTCAAAAATTAAAATTTTTATAATTCAAAAACTGTATCGTACTTTTTCTTTTCATCATGATGATGCAAATAAAACCATTAAAAAGCTGTACCATCAGTAGTTTATATGGCAACCGTACAATATGCAAATTTAGTTTATCATTCCACAAACATTAGGTTTCAGACGGCAAGTGACAGTAAATATCAAAAAACAAGTTTGAAAACGATGGTGAAAGAATAAAGAGCAACTTTTATAAGTCTTCAGTTATTTAGTAAAAAAAAATTATGAAAAAAAACTTTTACTGGTTGAGTTTATGACAACTTTGAAAGTAATTATTTACCATTTTGTTTTTTACAATTATTTTTCTCATCCTTCTTCTTTTTTTACTATCATTCTTTTTTAACAAAAAATTTCTGATACTTATTGATTGTCGACATATTTGTTGAATACAGTTTTGCTTCAACATTAACGACAGTAATGCCAAGTTTAGTGTATAAATCTTGGAAAAAATTTTTCTTTTTGTAACCAAATTAGACAAATGCAATTTTTTTTGTTTTAATGGTTTACCGTCTGTAAGACAGTTTGCTATGTGGTGTTTTGTAGACAAAAATTAAAGCGACCAAATAAGATCAATAACTTATGAAGGTATTATAAATTGATAAAAAAAGAAAACAGAAAAAAAAAAGGAAAGAATAGAAAAAGACTGAATGTTTTCTTTTAATTTATAGAACACTGCTCTTTTGTACAATCAAAAAAAGAACTTTAAAAAATAGAATTATTTTTTTACACAATTCCTTTTTCATCCTTCTTTTTTTTTTTTTTGATTCGAACAATAGACGTGTTAAGAAAAAGCAAATTTTCAAAGCATCCAATTAGAAATAGAAAGAAATATATAAGAAATATAAGAATTATTAAATTGAAAGGAAAAAACAGCTAAAAAACGAAGTAAAATTGCAGCCCAACGATAAACTCACTACTTCAGTCTACAAAAAAAATATGTATTAACTGTTACTGAACAATGAATAAAGAATGGAAATTAAGGAAAAGCCAAAAGCAAATGCAGAAATTTGTGTGGTTATATGAAAGGAGAAAAAATTTTTGCCTATTCAGTCAACTTGACCACAGTTACTGACTGTTTCTACATACGGAAGACAAGGAATAAAGAGGAGGAAAAGAGGGTGAAATAGCGGAGGAAAACAGTAATAAGGAAGAAGAGTATCGTTTAAACATTGAACAAATGAAATTTAAAACAGTCTTTACACAAAATCCAAAATAGGTGTTTTTTCTTTTTCTTTTGATGTCATCAATTGAGTTGCTTTCTTTTTTTCTGCTCGCTTAACCAACAACTTTATTGGTGGTAGTCAAAAAACAAAAAAATCCATACCTAATTTAATTTAACTCAAACAGAGGAAGAAAACAGAAAACTACAAAAAAATAGCAATAACTTGGCAGAACTTTTAGTTTACAGTTGTAGAGACGTGAAAAAATTAAGACGACTTTTAAACATTGAACAATGACATTACGACGACAGTTGTGAGAAGAAAATTTTTTTGCTTGATACATTGGTTGATGTGTATCTGTGGCTGTCGCTTTCTCGTTGCGGTTGCCTGCCTCTTCAGTTTCACCCGTTGCTTTTTCACGCCATCACACTTCCCCCTCCTTCCAACTCCCAGCACCCCACCGCCTCCTCCGCTGTTTCAATAATTCTTT